GCTTAAACTTGTGTCCAAAGTAAGTAACCTCCCTCCTTTTGCTTCATCGACAAGAAACTCCCATCCACTGTATATTGACGATTTCCACAAACCACATGAAGCGTAGATGTGAATCTTCATATTTTTTGTGGCAAAGAGAATTGAAACAAGAAGAGAAGATAAAAACACACACGATGAATCCCTAAATCGTGTGAGAAGAAGAGGTTTTCAATTTTTTTGGAAGAAAACTTAAAAAAGGAAATTAGGATATTAAAAAGATTTACAGAATATTAGTTAACCGTTTTTGGCTAGATTTTCGGATCTTGTTTATTTTTTTTCCAGAATTTACATTCTACCAACGTAGAAGGTAAACGAAGAACTAGGATATGGAATACCACGACTGTAGATAGAAAAACAATGTAAAGAATCTACTTCCTACCGAGCTAGATTACTGTTTAGCTCTAGGACTTACAGTCAACCAAAACCGTAGATTACAGACACTTCGGTAGATTATATATTCTGAGCTCGTAGTTATAAATATTTTTGGTATATTGTGCATCCTAAGCCGTTTAGTACGCTGTCTTTCTGTTAGATTACATGTTCTACATTGCCGTAGATGGTAGATCGTAGATACTAACACATTTACTCCATTTTTGAATTTACAATTTAAAGACATTTTATAAACAAAAATATTTTTCTTATATGGAGATGCTTATCTACATCAAGTTTACTATTTTTCCATAATTTTTTACCTTGTAAAAAAATTGATATGAATTTTCAAAGACTAAAAGGGTAGTGAAGGTCCAAACATGCCAAAAGTTGAGTTTGTTCTAAGGGGACAATAGTATGGTTATTTTGTCCCTTTTTGGCAATTTCCCCTTTTTTAACACTCTTTTTACGTTAAAACACCAAGTTGGAGAAGACAAGATATTGTATGATTGTTGCAATGTGGGAAAACTAGATCCACATGTAAAAGACCGATAGGTTTTGGCAGACATAACATGCCATGTCTCCATCTTTGATTTGTTGCTAAACAATAATTCTAGAAAAATATGAAAAACATAGTCCGAGAAAATTTTGAGAACCTTCAAAAAATTTTATATTTTTTTTCAAAAGATTACTAATAATTATCCTTCAATAATTTAGAAGGATATGCAAATCAGTCAATCACTCCATTCACTGAAATTATTCGACTTTGAATGAAACGGCACTGAAGATGAGCTATTCCATTGTTTTTATTCAAAATGATACGAACCCACAACAATTTACAATCACACACGTCGTCGAAAGAGAAGCACAATCATACAAGAAAAAATTGATTGAGCTGAATTCAATACACTTTGGTCAACATTCAATACATATATGTAATTATAATCTTCATATTATTATACAACATAATGAAACTTACGTTTGTGATTATGTGTAAATTACTAAATTTTAGAATTTGACAATTAAAGAGGTTGATAGAGAAGTGACTAGAGATCAGATAATGTACATATATGACTGACACGGACAAGTTTATGTTCATCCTCTTCTTTGTCTTCATTCTACTTATTATTTGGTTCACACATAAGTTTATGGATGTAGATGCCTAATCCACCAGTTTCAGACCAAAGAACACGACGAAAATTAATCTAGTTCAGCTAACTTGTTGCCCAAGTCTCTTACAAGGAACCGTATTGAGCAAGACACAAGGAAACAAAAAAAAAAGACACAGTTTGGTACTCACATTTCACATTTAACAATTTGATATGAACCATAAATCAACACTGTTCAGCTAAGAGCAAGCAAAGCCGTTGTTTCATCAGTTTCCAAATCAAAACAAAACCATAACGTTTGCAGAAAAAAGGAAGTTTGATACAAATAAACTGACAGAGAGGAAGCAAAAAAAAAAGAAGAGCAACATGTCTGACACACGTATGTGTTGGTCTGATGGTTTTCCAACAGTGCACTCGGTTTGATGGTTCATCGGAAACCAACATGCCTCCCTGGGTTCTCTTCCTAAACCAACCAAAGAAAATGGTTTCAGCTTAGAAACAAAATATTTGAAAATGAGATAGTAAAAAAAGGAGAGAAGAGAGGAGAAAAGATATACAATTCTTCGTGAAGGCAGGAAACGGAGTCTCGTGGCTTCGTCCTCCCATTCAACCTTTCCTATCCAATTACCCGGTGCGTATTGTATGACAAACCTTTCAACTTCAGCTACGCTTCTGGAATCTACCGGAAGCTTTCTTAGTTTCTGACATTGTTCTACGAACATTTCCCTCAGACATGGAAAAGGCAGGGGGATCCAGTAGATGCTCTTCACCTCAGGCAAGTCACTCATCACTAGAGTTTCTAGTTTTGCAAAAGGAATAATACCTTGTACCTGCATCTTTTTAGCTTTCTCTATGTTTACTACTTCTTCTAGAAGCTCTAAATTCACCAGGTGTAGCTCTATAAGGTTTGGAGCGCACAACAGCCACGTCAAATCCTTTATACCACCACCATTTCTTATACTCACATGTGAGAGACTTAGGAAGCAAGGACCTTTGAGGCTACGGAGATCAGTCTGAAAGTAAAAGATGTCTCTGATAACAGCCTTTTGAATACATCTCATCCCTATTTGTGAGAAAAACAGTTTCTCCAAATCCGGATTTGACCCGATTTCAATGGTTAGAACCTCTAAATGTTTCAAGAGACTCAACTCCTCCCAGCTTCTTTTGTCACATTGGAGCCGGTAGGAACCTAGTAGTTTTAATGTTCTTAAACTCGACAACGTAGATATTCCATCGATACTCTCAAGGTTCTTCATACGCTCTAGATACAAATGTATTAGCCTTTTCAACTTCCAGAGACCAACAGGTAGCTCCCAGATGTCTGTTCTTGACAAATCAAGATATTTTAAGGAGACTAACTCTGATATTTCCTCCGGCAATCTATCAAGACTATAGTTATCAGATAGATCCAAAACAACTAGTTTTGGCATACACTTAAAGAAACCACCTGAGATTCTTGCTAGTGGCATGTTTTCTTGGAGGAATAGAGTTGTTAGTTTGGGACATTCTGGACTACCAGATATCTCTTCAATATTATTACTCATCAGTGACATTCTTTCCACAGTACTCCACTTCTCTACTTTCGGTACCTTACTTAACCCAACTCCAGCTCGCGTGATACACTTTTCTCTGTTTTTTCCAAGATCAGATGATATCCATAAAGACATCTCACGAACCACATCATGCATTTTCACCTTTGATTTGTTCCTTCCTTCCTCCAGCAGCAAATATGAACGGACAAGGATACCAATTATCTCATAACCTTGGTTTACTCTTCTTTCTCTATCTTCGTTTTCACTTATGAGTCCCTCACATATCCAGTAGTCTATCAACTTCTCTTTTTCTATCAAATAATCTTCAGGAAAAAGAGAGCAATATTTGAAGCATGACTTGATCTGGTCATCCTTCAAGTCATCATAGCTATACTTTAGAATACGAAGGATTTGGTCATCAATGCCAGCAAAATCTGCAGCGTACGAATTCAAAACCTCAACCGCAAGATCCCATTCTTTTATAGTTCTCTTGCATGACATGGTCTCGCCAATGACGTTGAGAGCTAAAGGCAAGCCACGACATTTTTCAGCAACCTTTCTTGCGTGTTCATGAATCCCTGGGTGGCTTTTTAACGTGAGTGACCCGACTTTTTTCTTGAACAGATCCCACGCAGCACTGTCAGTTAGACAATGGACTTCCATTGGATCATCAACCCCCATGCGGCTACATACTTCCCTGGAACGAGTGGTGAATACTACTTTGCATCCGTTTTCTCTTGTCGGCAATGGAATTCCGATTTCTGCTAAATCCACTTCTCTCCAGATGTTATCCAATAACAAGACAAATTTCTTATTCTTCATACGAGCGTGAATATCATGGGCCTTATATCTTTTATATTTCCGGTCCCACTCCTCTCCATGAAGGCCTAACTTCTCAGCGATATCATCTTGAATCTTCTCAACCCGTAGATCACCGGACACCTCAACCCAAATGACTATCTGGACACCATCAGCTGCATCACAAAACTTATTGTTGATCTGTGTGAGAAGAGTTGTTTTTCCTACTCCACCAATTCCACAGAGCCCCACAGCTTGAGTCTCGTCATTCATAAGCCGATTCCACGCCTTCTCTAGCATTGTTTCTTGACCAAAAATTACAGGTTGTAAAGGCCTTTCTTCAACTATGCATCTCTTAGCTGGCAGTTCAGCCGCAACAACTTCAAAAACTCCGTTAGATATGAGATTCTCAACCTCTTTCAACATGAGAGAAACCCTTCTCCCGTAATGGGAGCTAGACTTTAAGGTCTTCGAACTAACACCAAAAAGACACAACCTTTGGAGTTCCCTGGTTCTAGTACTATTTAGATCATCAAAGTGATTTTCGATGGTCTGAACACTAGTAAGCCATACCTTGACTTCGTTTAGCCTTTGTTGACCCTTGTCTTCTTCCTCTTTCACCCTTCTTAACACATCATATCGCCTTGCCTTGACTACTCTTATGGTTTTCTCCAGAGTCTCCAAATTCTTCTCAAGATTACGAATATGTTTGCCTTCTCCACGTAAGCAGCTACCAACATGGTTGAATACTGAATCGCCTGATCTTTGGATAGAGATGCAACCACCCATCCTGCACTTGACTTTACACACAAAGAGAGATGAAAAATGCAACCAAGGAACAATGTTCCAATAAAGAAATACGCTGTTGAACTGGAATTTTATCTGTCTTTCTTCTGAAACTAGAAAAAAGTCAAGTCGTTGGAATTAAAAAAAATAGAGGTGACTTTTTTTCCAAGCAATTACACAAGTCGTCTATATCACGTTTGGTACGTACAAGGAAGCAATTTTTTAAGGCTATTTATCAATACAAAACTTAGTGGGGTCGTCGAACAAGGGGGCAATTTTTATTCATCACCCCATATTACTACACATTCTTGAAATCACTCCACATGCTATTATCTTTACAAGTAGCCCCCTATATGCATGCTTGTTAGGATACATTATTTATTAGCTTATTGCTCTACATTTTCACATTCTGGAAACACAACAGCCACAAAACGCAAACTTACAAAACATACCCGCACATCGTCTTCACATAACAAAGAGCAACAACATATTGTAACAATGCAAATGATATATGCCCCGGCGTGAGTAGCTGCTGCAGCTTGAGAAAATCTGATGTTGAATGCAAAATTGATATACTAAAGAATCAAGATGTACTTAAGACAAGAGTAAAAAATAAAAAATATAACATTCAATGGTACCTGTAAACGAAGTCAAGTGCGCATGGATTCCAGCAATCATGCAGCTTCAATACCCTACTAGAGCGGTGACAAGCACAATACTAATCCTATATAGAGATGGTAAAAACAAAAAGCTTTGTTAAAATACTTGCTGACACAAACTTGCTTGCAGGGATTTTTGAATAGCAAAAGGTCGTGTGGTACATCGATTTCAATGTATAGTCTCAACAGATGATGAACCTAGAGACATCAACAAGCTCACCAGATCACATGTCAGAGATTTGGAGTTGCAGAAGGCGGAGATAGCAACAGTTGGTTATTAGCCTATTACTGTTAGAACTTTCACACACAATCTTATGGATAAAGAGACATTTCATTCGCTTCACACTTGAAGTATCAAAGCTATGTATAATAAGGTCTTTAGATTATACATATCCATTACAATGAACACTCACACTCACAAACAAACTCAAACTCACTCTCCAAAACACAATCACACCGTTTGCAGAAAAGAGAAGTTTGATGCAAATTAACTGACAGAGAGGAAGCAAAAAAGAGGAGGGTAAAATGTATTACGCACGTGTGTTGGTCTGATGGTTTACAACAGCGCACTAGCACAGAGAGAGAGAGAGAAACAGTAGCGAAAACACAGTAAGACTGTTGTAACACAGATTCTGTTTGATGGTTTATTGGAAACCAGCTTTCCCTCACTGGGTCGCCTTAGTCAAATGATATAAATTTTCACAATGCTTTTTATAGGTACCCCATCACCTAAACCAACCAAAGAAGAAAAGCATTTCAGCTTGAAAATAAAATATTTGGGAATGGGATAGTAAAAACGGAGAGAGGGGGAGGAGACATACAATTCTGCGTGAAGGCAGGAAACGGAGTCTCGTGTCTTCGTCCTCCCATTTAACCCCTTCTATCCAATTTCTCGATTGGTATTTTATGACAAACTTTTCAACTTCAGCAACGCTTTTGGAATCGAGCGGAAGCTTTGCTAAATTCGGACATAGGTCTATGTACATTTCCCTCAGACAAGGAAATGTCAGAGGAGTCCAGTAGATGCTCTTCACCTCAGGCAAGTCACTCATCAGTAGAGTTTCTAGTTTTCCAAAAGGAATAATACCTTGTACCTCCATCTCATAAGCTTTCTCTATGCTCACTACTTCTTCTAGTTTCGATAAACTTTTTAGACTTAGATGTATAAGGTTTGGAGCGAGCAACAACCACGTCAAATCCTTTAAACCACACCCTTCTATAGTCACATAGGAGAGACTAGGGAAGCAAGGACCTTTGAGGCTACGGAGAATTAACGGAAAATCCAAGATTCCGAAAGACTCTTTTCCCAGGTTTTTGATTACTACCTTTTGAAAACATCTCCCCATGTGTGAGAAAAACAGTTTCTCCAAAACCAGTTTTGACGCGATGTCAATGGTTAGAACTTGTAAATGATTCAAGAAAAGCAACTGCTGCCACTCTCTGACAATATTAAGTTGACTGCAACTTAGTAATGCTAATGTTCTCAAATTTGACACATAAGATATTCCACTGATACTCTGAAGATAGGGCATATCCTCTAGATACAGATGCATTAGCTTTTTTAACTTTCGGAAACAAACAGGTAGTCTCGAGATCATTGTTCCGGACAAATCAAGATATTTTAATGAGACCAACTCTGATATTCCCTCAGGCAAATCATAAATACCATTGTTCTGAGATCGATCCAGAACACCATTGTTCTGAGATAGATCCAAAACAACTAGTTTTGGCATACACATAAAGAATTCATCTGAGATACTGCCCAATCGCCTGTTTTCTTGGAGGAATAGAGTTGTTAGTTTGGGACACTTGGGACTAGCAGATATACTTTCAATCTTATTATTCATCAGTGACATCCTTTCCACATCATTCCACTGCTCGACTTCTGGTACCTCACATAACCCAACACCGGCTCGCACGATACACTTGTCTCTGTTTTTTCCAAGATCAGATGATATCCATAGAGCCATCTCACGAACCACGTCATGCATTTTTACCTTTGATTTGTTGCTTCCTTCCTCCAACAGCAAACATGAACGGACAAGGGTACCAATTATACCATAACCTTGGTTAACCATTCTTTCTCTATCTTTCTTTTCACTTATGAATCCCTCACATATCCAATAATCTATCAACTTCTCTTTTTCTATCAAATAATCTTCAGGAAAAAGAGAGCAATACTGGAAGCATGACTTGATCTTGTCACCCCTCAAGTTGTCATAACTATATTTCAGAATAGGTAGAATTTGGTCATCCATGCCAGAAAAATCCGCAGCATACAAATTCAAAACCTGAACTGCATGATGCCATTCTTGTATAGTCCTCTTGCTTGACATGGTCTCTCCAATGACGTTGAGAGCTAACGGTAGGCCACGACACTTTTCGGCAACTTTTCTTGCTTGTTCAAGAATGCCTGGGTGGCTTTTTAACGTGAGTGGTCCGACTTTTTTCTCGAACAAGTTCCATGCTTCACTGTTTGTTAGACATTGGACTTCCATTGGATCATCAACACCCATGTGGCCACATACTTCCCTAGAACGAGTGGTGAATACTACTTTGCATCCATTTTCCCTTGTTGGAGACGGGATTCCAATTTCGGTTAAATCCACTTTCCTCCAAATGTCATCTAATAACAAGACAAATTTCTTATTCTTCATATGAGCATGTATATCAGTGACCTTTTCTATTTTATCTTTCCGGTTCCACTCCTCTCCGTGACGGCCTAACTTCTTAGCAATATCATCTTGAATCTTTTCAACCCGTAGATCACTGGACACCACAACCCAAATGACAATCTGGAAACCCTCAACTGCCTCACAAAACTTGTTGTTAATCTGTGTGAGAAGAGTAGTTTTTCCTACTCCCCCCATTCCATAGAGGCCCATAATTCCAGTCTCATCATCCATGAGCCAATTCCACGCCCTTTCCAGCATTGTTTCTTGACCAACAATCACCGGTTGTAGAGGCCTTTCTTCCACCACACATCTCATAGATGGTGGTTCAGCCGCAACAACTTCAAAAACTCCATTAGATTTGAGATCCCCAACCTCTTTCAACATGAGAGAAACCTTTCTCCCGTAACGGAAGCTTGATTTTAAGTTTTTCGAACAAACACCAAAAACACACAATCTTTGCAGTTCCAGGGTTCTAGTATTATTTAGATCATCAAAATGGTTTTCAATGGTCTGAACACTAGTAAGCCATACCTGGACTCTGTTTAGCCTTCGTTGACCTTTGGCTTCTTCCCTTTGCACCTCTGTTAACACATCATCTCGCGTTGCCTTGAGTTCTACCATGGCTTTCTCCAGAGCCTCATAATTCTTCTCAAGATTACGAACATGATTGCCTTCTCCACATAAGCAGCTACCAACACGGTTCAATACTTGGTCGCATGATATTTGGATCGAGATGCAACCACCCATCTTGCACTTGAATTGACACACAAAAGAGAGAATACCAAAATGCAACCAAGGAAGCTTGATTTACAATTTGTCAATAAAGATGAGCTGTTGAATTAAGAATTTTCTTTTGTCATTCTCGTGAATTCAGTAAACGCCAAGTCGTCTCTATCACTGAGTTGAAAAGAGGTAATTCTTATGGCCACTCAATAAATACAGAACATAAGGGCCCCAGTTTTTATTCACCACTTGTTCAAATCACATAGTGATGAGATAGGAAACAATTGCATCACAACTCATGAAGTGACAAGACAGATAAATGCACTCAAAAACCATATGCTTATTGCCTAATTCGAAGGATTGTCTCTTCTTCTTCTCCTTCGCTCGAGATTCAGTTCCGTGTGAGGTTTATTTTTTGGTTTCATGAAGAACCCTGCACTCATGCTAAACTGGGTTCAACACGTGAGCATGACGTTGCAACACTGTTGAGCGATGTTTACTTAAGCAAACTCTCTTACTGGTGTAGAAGTTTTGTATTCCAATAGCAAATTCAACAGTGGGCCAACAGGCCAAATCCATACGAAAGAACGGTTGGGCCCTAATAGATATCTTCGGCCTATTTGTTTCCTTAAAAACTAAATAGATCAAGTCAATCAACTCAAAAATATATAAACCAACAAAAAGAAAAAAAAAAAAGAAATATATTAGCCAAGAGTTTTTTTTTGTTTTTTTTATAATGGGGTTTGTATCAGCAAGAGTTCTAATATAAGTCAAAACTTCATATAAATTTATTCAAAAATAGGTAAATGATGCAAAATTGTATTTTTGGAACGCATATAAGTCAAAATTGTATTAGATTTAGTGGGTCCATTAGTGGTAACTGGTAAGTGGAAATTGATGTCATGAGTGATGAGTGCTCAATCATGCAATCACCAGCTACTTTTTTCCTCCATCTGTAGGCAGAGTTTTGTAAATGATCCCCTTATTATTACAAATTCCTGAAATCATTCAACATACTATTATATTTTACATGCAGCCCCATATATACATTCTTATTAGGCTATATTATTAGCTTATTGCTCTACCTTTCACATTTTCGGAACACAACAGACACAAGACACACAGTTACAAAAACACACGCACACACCGTCTTCACAACAAAGCTCCAAAGTAAGTTATATCATCAATTTTAGGTTTTCAGCATCGGCAAAAGTTCTGGATAACTTGACATAAACTTAACAAAATCATCGTATGCTTCTACGATGAGGTGATCATCGTCCCAATTATCTCTGTACGTAGCGGATTGTGCATAAATTCTCTTGAAACCTATGTAAAACATTTCTTCTCTCCATTTCTCTATCCGTGGATAGTCACATTGATCCGCAAGCCAATTATCATACTCAAACTGCGACAAGAGTTTCACCAAACGAAATGTTTAGTCTCAATTATTTAATTTTATCTAGATAGCACAAAGTAATGGGTAAAAATCTTGTACGTACCTGAGAGTCATCTGGCATCAAATGAGTATATCTTTTGGGAATACCCGAGGCTTCGAGCTTATCGTAGAAAGCTTTAGTGTCTTCCATCATCTCATCTTGCGATGGTAAAGATACCCGTCCAGATAAAACTGCGGCAACCCACTTGCTTTGAAGCTCAAACATCGGAAAAGGAGTTATCTAGAAACCATGTTATAAACCATATTATGAGATCATATGCCAAAACAACGAAGATGCTTATTTGCACATAAATAACAAAGAATATAGTAGAAACATTATTATAAGATTATTAACCTGCCATGGCAGGCCGATGAACGAAAGGCCTGGGGCAAGAGCAGGAGGAAATACATGCTTATACAATGGTCCAACGCGATTATCGTCCACTGTCACTTCACCTTTCGTGTCAAGAAACGGGAAGTAATACTTGTACCTGACCATAACAAAGTCAAAAAGGTCAAGAAACATGTCTTTAAATATTTAAATTCTCTTACAGAACTGAGACACATAATGTATCTTACCCTGTACAATGCATAATGGTATCGGCGTAAACCGTCTTTCCATTTTGGAAAACCACTGAACCATCTTCACGGGCATTTTCAATCTGTAATGGACATAGCGAGGAATCAGATTATGGCGTTATGGACTAAATGATTGGCTGGTGGCTGGTTTAGTTAGTACCGTTGGGTGAAGCCAAAGGTTGTCGTAACCAGGAAGCTTCTCGTAGGTCTCCGATGAAGTTGATCTAGACGAGACGTGGACTTCTTTAGCCACTTTTGCTATGTCTCTGCATATATCAACGCCACTGGCTGAACTCCCGATCACTATTACTACCTGCAAAGGCGATCCAAGAGTTGAGCAAAAAGAAACATTGGTTTGAGGTCTCAAGATTCAGTATAGTGATGAGATTCTTGTGCAAGTACCTGATCTTTGAATGGATCAGGAACACGGTAATTGTGGCTATGAATTTGCTTGCCTGGCCATGAATCTATGCCTGGAATAACCAAATATAAATTGTTTGAATACTTCATCCCTCAAGAAATCTCTGTTTTCTATGTTTGCTTAATTAAAAACTGCTTTTTGGATATTAATTTTGACGTAAAAATATTAAAGTTACAAAACCATATATTTCAAATTTTAGCAAAAAAAAAACAAACTAAATATTTGTAATGGATACATTACTTTTCAAATATAATTCTCCTCATTTACTGTAATTTTTTTCCCGTATACGTAGCCAATACGCATAATGTAAAGATATTTTAAAATTATTAATAAATGAAAAAACCAATATAATCCGAAATATATGGTAGCGTGACATAATTTTGGATGTCGTAAACAAAATAAAGAAGTGAACAAGTGTGTCAAAACACACTATCTCAGGACACGAGTAAGGTTTGGTTATTTACCAGATACGAGAGCATGGCGTGGCTCTGTATAGTGTCCGTTACAAACCACAACGGCGTCGTATATCTCTTCCGCAACAGCATCGGAGCTTCTCGACTCAACCCTCCACTTCCCGCTAATCTCCTCATCCGCCACCTGCTCCGCCTTAACAACCTCCGTGTCGAACCTTATCATCTCCTCTATATCAAACTCCTTAGCAAAGTCACGCAAGTAAGCAAGAACCTCACTGTGACCCGGATGTCTTCTCGGATCCCTCGACCCGTCGTGTGGCCGGGTCGCAAAAGGGAAGTCAGTGAAACCCATGCACTCTCGGGGGATGTTGGTGCGTAGGGATTTGTAGAGGCTGGAGTGGACTACGGGTCGGGTTGGGTCGAGGCTTAGCGGGTCAGGTTCCACTTGAGAGGTGTAAGCCCACACGCCTCCTATTTGGCTCCCACGCTCTAACACGACCACTGAGTGGCCTTCACGACGTAGCTCACGAGCAGCCACGAGGCCGGCTGCTCCAGCTCCGATTACCGCCACGTGGCGAGAGTTTGTTGGATCACGGTTACTAGGTGCCATGTGTTAGGTTATTGTGAAGTGTTGTGGTCTAAAAAAAGATGAAGAGATTGTAATGATAACGAAGAAGAGAAAGGTGATGGTGTGTTTCGATTATCACGATGTGCAAATATATATACGAGGAAAAAATGTGCCTCTAATGAAGACGTGCCAGTTCAGTGTAGACAATTCTTACATAGTCTCTCGTATGAGTATTAAATTCATTTTATATCTTTTAGCAAAAATAGATATTAAATTCAATTAAGTAGGTAGCATGCTTCAACCATGCATGTCTATTAGAGAATATACACTTTTGTTAAATTATGTAGGAGTCATTTTAGCTGATCATTACCAAGTTTGAAGTAGTAAAAACATAATTTATCATGAATTATATCATATTTCATTATTTAGTGATTTATTCTCCATGTGTTTATATGTAGAGTGTTATAGATGGATTTTTTTCGCATTTTGAAGTTGGTGTCTAAAATAACAAATTTGTTTTTTTTCTGATAGAATTGGATTAGCTGATTTTACTCTCTTTTTATCATCATGATTGTAGTCTGCGTTCGTATTGTAAATGATTTGAAATAATCTACTATTACTTTACAAATGGATGTTCTTAAGGTATTTTTAATGGTATTCTATTTTTCTATAATTTATTCTATTTTAGAATAAAAATAAAGTAGTACTATCGGAGATAGTCTTAAGATTATCCGAATAATCATACATGCAATAACTCATAATTTTAGTATCATAAAAACTCAAAATATGGGATTTTCACGAGAGATCGTATTTAGAAGCTTTAAATCATTAATGGTAGTTCTAAGGAGAAGACAAGGAAGCATAAGTTTCTGGTATTTTTTTGTTTTAGTAATTTATCAGCCACCAAATTTATAAAAATCTTAATTAGCCCACTGGTTTATTAAAGTCAATATAGAGATGTAGACAATGAATTCAATTTTCTACCACAGCAGTATGCCTTGTTTTTTTTTTTAAATTGCACTCACTTGAACTAGTGAATGTGCTTTCACAATACTTTGATTTATAAAATGAAGAAGTAGCAAAAAGCAGCTTTTAAGATTCAATGTAAATAGCTTTTTGGTTACTTCTTTTAAATTAAAATGCATGCAGCCCAATGTATATATCACCTAACAGTGTCCAGGATCATGTGTACTATTCAACATAGCATACCAAAAAATAAAATTTCTATATAAATATCTGTAGTTTAAATAATTGCTACTAGATTCATGAAATAAAATATTCACACCAGTATCACTATGCAGTATGCACAACATATTAACTAACATTATTGCATGCAGAAAGGAGCTGTTTTTACTTTTTATTCATACACTAGACAATATTTTCGGTTAATGTTCCCAATTAACGTTTGATTGTCTATTGAAAACTATATACTTTACTTTAAAAAAAAACTATATTCCGTTCTCTCACAACATCTTACCAAAATAAAAATTAGCATGTATTTTAGTCGAAAGAAAAATTTAGTTTTATGTGTTTGAAAGTCCGATTAGATAAATAGGATTTATTTTTATATTTTGTAATGATAAATAATATAAATTTTAACATTAAATATACAGAACTTACTTTGCAGTCTTTTAAGGTTAGACCAAATATATTACCAAGTTCGTAAAAACTATTAGAAGACGGCAAATATGAACCGTCTACGTCATTGTTCTTTGAAAATGATAGACGCCAAATATGAACAAACAGCCATCAAGTAGCAAACAAATCCACTACCCAAGTAATCAAGTTTGAATAATTGCTTATCTTTTATCTTCCTTTATTGACACTTTCGTCTCTATCGACAAAACACTAACACCCAACACACTGATCACATCAAGCTTTTCTTAAAATTTCACAAAAGATTGATCTATCAATTAGTTTACAATACGTAAATTATTGTATACTTATGATATTCATAGTCCTAACTCCTCAGCGATCTTGATTCTTCCTTTTTAATCCCTAAACCAATATATTTTACTGACATATTTGGCCTCATATACGTATTTTCAATACTTATCACTTAGCAGATTTCATTTGACAGCCGAATCCTAAATGATTATCAAAGCATCGTCAAATATTTTTCGTACAAGCATGAATGTGATATCTATTTGAAAATCGCCCACAAAATAGTTTATATAAATTATAATAACGATAATAACCATTTGTTAAAGTGTTTAATGTTTATATACTTTATTTGTTTATTTCAAGTTAGCGTAAATCTTTATGGACATGGCCTGGAGTCAATTGACACATTTAACACCTAAAACAGTTTTCAAATTCTTTCAGGTCAAATGAATTATAAGAATCTATCAAATTTTAATAACACAAGATTTTGAATGTTATGTTCAAATCTTTAATTGAATAACAATAGATTTTAAATTCCTTTATTGAAAGTTTCTTAAATACAAAAACCAATAACATTAGATTTTTAAATCTTTTAGCAGAAATAGTTTAAATACAAGAACCAATAATATTAGATTTTAGCAAAAGAATTAGAATCATTCATTGAATAACACTAGATTATAAAAACCTAAAAAATTAATTTCAAATCTACTATAACACCCCCTAAATTAGATATGTTTCTTAGTTTAAGTAAATTCACATTAACTGCTACGCCTATAAACGAGATATATACACTGTCATATGCTGGGAAGCTAATAAATTAGAAGGTAGTTTTTTAAAGTTTAAACACGTCTTATGTTATTTTATTTTGACGTAAAACACATCTTATCTTATTAAAATACGCAGCTTAATTAATTTATCTTTTAATAAAATACATTTTTGTACACTTTTATAACATAACTAGATCCGTTCCCGGGCTACGCCCGGGTTGTTTGGCTGAAGTTTATTTTTTTATTGAATTCAGTGAGGGTTAAGCAAATCAGGAAAACCAATAATAAAACAGAAACACATTTTTAATTGTGGTACTGGAGGCTTTAAACATTAGTCTCCTTACATATGGGACAGCTAATGTTTGTACGGAGCCATTCATCAATGCACGGGAAATGAAATTGGTGGCCGCACTTGAGAGCGCATATGTATTTGCCATTGTTGAAATTCTCGAAGCAGACAATGCATGTGTTATACCGTTCTTCCATATGTGGAGGTCTAGTAGTTCCCTCAAGGTCGGTTATGGTGAGGTCGACGTCAAGTCTTGCTGTTGCCTCTGAGTTGTTGTCCGTGAGTGTCAGAGTAATTTGAATATGAAAGTTCGTTTTGAGAACGCTGCTGGTTAGGATTTCCTTAACGTTTTCCGAAATCTCATGGATAAACATTGTTGAGTCTTCAGGCTTTATCTGATGGTAAGCTAACATTAAATCAATGTACTCTATTTCAATTAAATTACCTTCATTGTCGGTGATGATTGGCAGTTGGAAATCAATTGCTGATTGTTGTGTCATGGGTCTGTGGATGTACACCTGAAGCATCATCCTGGGCGTGACTGCAGGGGGTTTAGTCTCGTGTGAGAAGTGGTATCGCAGGAGGGGTTCAATATTCATCTTTGGTGTTGACAGTGTTGTCTGGATGTTTTATTTTGGTTGTCTGGTAGGTGGGTCTTATAGAGAATTAGGGTGACGAAACCTTAGTTTGTGTTTAATTCTTGTAACATATCTTTGATGCAGACATTTAATCCGAGAGTTTTTGGTTTTGACCAGATGTAATGGCGTTTGATTTACAATGCACACAACATTAGTCTTATGTTATCATATAGTGAATAAAATTATGACATTGTAATTGTAACCCAGTCAAATTGCTATATAGTCTTACGTTATCATATAGTTTAATTTTATCATTAAAATTAGCCATATAAATATTACAGTGACAAAAAGCAGACATTAAAATATTTTTTAATTTTTAAGGGTTTTTTTTAATTAAATGTCAAAAATCTTAACTTGTTACAATTGTTAAAAACAGTGTAAACTAATTTAAATATATTTCAAATTATAATAAATTAACTTAAATTGAACATAAAATATAAACATGTACAAACAATTATTTTATGTTTTTTAAAAAAATAAAAAATAAATATTTTTAGTTTAGCTATCACTTTAAATGCAACTTAGGTTTATGAAACACTCCTCTATGTATCACTCAAACGTTATTATTTTGTACATTCATGAAAAGCCTGAATGCAGGAGACGTAATCAAGATTAGAAGTCTGAACAAACAAAATGGCCATTTACTGAAGCCTAAGTCTAGGAGCGTACTGAAATAGTAAGCATTTTCAACAAACAGAGGAATCCATAAAAGGTGAAGGGAATCCATTAAAAAGATAAAAGGAAGGATAATATTAAACGGAAACAGAACCAAGGCTTTAGAAAGATGCAAAGGAATATCCATTGAAAAGAAAACAGAGGAAAACATTAATCTGAAACAAAAGTAGTACTAAGTTTCATTAGCCAAGCTTTGGACGCTTGGCTTCTTCACCCTCAATCACATCACCACCCCTTTTCACCGACTCCACTGCTTCATCCTCCACATCGTTTACAGGTGACTCTCCAGCCTCATCTCCAATATTGACTTCGGGTTCTTCCTCCTCAAGAGGGAACACTTTTGTCACAGTCAAACTCTGGAACTTGCCAGTGAGATTATAGGCAGACACCTTCACAATAAATTTTCTGGTTTGTCCTATGGTATTGGTTAGAGCCTGAGGCACTGGAACAATGTGATCCTCTTCTTGAATCTGGTTGGCCTGACATAGATTTACACATCGTTATTTTTTTTTTTTTTTAAGAATTGAGATAAACTTGTAAAATCTTACAAACGTGCTAGTGTTTCTGTAATACCTGGTAATAGCTATCAACCAACTCAGCAGCTTTTTTCCCAGTCAACTCCTCACCAGCATCACCGAGAAGTACAAAGACAGCTTGATCCTTGTGGTCATACACAGATAGCTTCGAGTGGTACCTATGACAAAGAGATATTAATAATCATTGAAATAAAATGTAAAATGGGATCGCAAAAGAAAAACACTTACTGTGGCACACCATCAATTTCATGCTTCCCACACTTCTTACACATGAGAGTTGTTGGCCCTTTGATTGCCTTGGTATGACAGTCACGACAGCCTATATAGTACCACCCAGCACCATGCAAAACATCATCAATAGTTGCTGTGCACTCAAACCAAGCAACCTGTGGAAAATTGGAAATTTAATGAGATACTTACCTTATCGTATTCAATGTATCAAAAAACTGGTGAGTGTAATACCTTTGCAGATTCCTGTTTCATATAGGTGAGGAGATCACCCAGAGTCACTGTTTCAGGCTTCGTCACAACTGTTGCATTAACCCTATTGGCTACTTCGAAGTTAGATTCCAACCTGAACCAAATATGAAATCAGCCATCACGGTATTGAAGGAAATTTAAAATCTCCTGGAAAATTCTAATAAAAAACCTTACCAACTGAGATATGAGCGTGTCTCTTGGATATCGGCATCTATGAATACTCTTGAAGCCGTAGTAGAAGACAAAGATAAGATGCCTATCACAAAGCATAAACCATGTTAAATAAGTGAAACCATGTCAGAATGAATTAACGTCAAAACTGTGTCTAATATCATCATTACTTTATTCAGGTCATATCTAGATTATCACCGTAATCTCTATTAACACACTTTCAAATACAATAGTTCTATTTTAGAGTATTTAAATACACAGTCTTGCCTAGTTCCAATGCCATCTAACATCTACAGAAACGAAATAAAAGTCGGTTACACAAACCTCCAAACCGTTTCGGATTCAAGGTGGTGATCAAGACAACACTTGCAGTGGCTCCAGAAGCTTTGAACTTCTCACAGAACTCGAACGCGGCTTTATCCCAGAGACACACCTTCATCACCGGTTCGCTGTTGAGAATCGTAATTTATATATCAAAATTCAGACGAAAAGGTGCATACAACTATGGGAAAAAAGTTAATACGTCGAAACTGAATCTTCATTATGAGAAAAGGGTGCAGATAATCTTACTCATGTGTTTGCACGTGAAGATCAAGACGGCGAGATGCAGCTAGCTCTGCTTCGTCGATGAGAAGTTTGTCGTTGGGAACCTCCCCATTCACAAGTTTGATGTGGCCAATGTAATCTGCATTTAGAAGAGAGTAAAGACAATGCTTAAAATCTCATAGAATCAGTCTACCGGTCTAATTAATAATTTCCTATGTTTACAATTCATATTAGAGCATTAGCAGTTCAATATCACAAGGTGGAGTTAAACAATATCATAGGTTTAAGTTTAGAGTACACAGTGATTTTATACAACCTGTTTGGATCATTTTAAGAGCCTGAACTTACCATAAAGATCACCTCTCTTATCTGCGGCAGTCTCAAATTCTTTCACGCTATGGAAACGGAACCTATCCTCAAGAAAACAGACACTACTGTCTTTGAATTCAGAGAGGACGGAATTCCATGACAAACTAATGGTGACGGTTGGGTCAGCCACACGGTATATGGTTTTGCTTTGTGATCCAAAAAAACGGTTGAGTCGGTAAGTTGCACCAGGTTTGAGGAGAGGCAAATAAGTGGCACTCCTTCCTTGGGGGATGAAACCTTGGATCACATTTTCCTGTAGTTGAAAAGATTGTCAGGAAAATGTCAAAATAAAATAAATATACAGTTAACAAATTTAACATACAACAACAAATCTCAGAACAACAACATTAACAGATAGACCATAATTAAGATGAATAACGCGCAAGGAACAACATCAAATTGCAAAACGAAATCAGACTTCTCTCTTGTTAAAGTAAACAAATGTAGTGATGGTAAACCCATAATTAATCTTAATAGCTAAGTATATAAAACTATCTAAATCTTAATAGCTAATTGTATAAAACTATTAAAAGAAACTAATCATAGTTCTCGGTTATGTAACATAGTAAAAGTAAACAATCACCTAACATAGTTATTAAGCAACAAAAATAATAATTAGATTAGTACAAAACATTAATCAACACTCGCCATATCTCTACTAATAAGTTTTTACTTAACAATTTCATAATAATTAGTAGAAGCCCTAATGATAACTAACAGATTTTTTTATAAAAAAATATGTAACTAATAAATATTTGAAAAACAAACATAGTTCTGCCATTCAACAATAACAGATCACAGGAAATAATTATTAGAAGCTACGAATGATAAATAACAAAAATTATAAAATAAAAATTTATGTAACAAATAAAAATTTGTAAAACAAACATAGTTCTCTCATTCAACGATCACATAAAATAATCAAACTTCCATTTGGTTACAGATCGTTTTTGAAGGGAGAGTATAGGTTCATTACCTCTTCATCAATGAGGAGCATCTCGATGCCGATGAGGGTCTTTGACACGGGATTCCAGGCCTCCCAAAAGTGAATCAAGCGAAAACGGACCTCCCCTTCATTAGGCCCTAAAGTGACATCCTTGAAGGTCAGCCTCTTCCCAACGTCGTCGGTGACAATCGATTTACCCTTTGCTGCGGCAGAGGCGGCTACTTTGCGTCCTCCGCCGAGGTTGAGACCGGAAGAAGAACCTTTTTTAGGACTTGGTTTGATCGCCCTGGAATTACTTGCCGGTAGGTCTACTGGAGTCGTTGAGAACGGATGGTCGGTAGAGACACCGGTTTGGCCGTCGTTTTTGACCGGAACAGGTGGAACCGCCGCTTCGTTGCCGGATGCTAGGCCCTCGATGGTTGACTTCATGGTCATGTATGATGGTTAGGAAAATAGAGAGAACCAAGATTTCGATAGTAGAAATCATGGACTTAATGTTTCTTATAAAGAAGTTTAGATGGAGGAAGTGAAGGGATACAATGAATGAGAGTAAAGAGTGTAGATTAGTGGGAGAGTTTTGATTGCAATTGAAGTGAGATCGGTGAAACAAAGAAGTCGAAGAGATCGAAGAAGCCGAAGAGAAAGGGGCTCAATTCGGATTTGGGAAATTAGGGTTTGTTCATCGCCGCTAATGGCGAAGGGAGATAAGGTTTAGAAATTAAGTTATGCCATATGGGCTACGGGAAATGAGGCCAGACTTATATTTTCACAGCCCAATTCCAAAACTTCGGTCAAATGCTTTAGAGTCCACACGAAATCGAGCCCATACTACCTGTACGCACATGCTGACATGGCAGAAAAATGACTCCTTATTGGAGGAATAAAATAAAGGACGTGGCATAGCTAAGGGGGGAGTATTAGCCCCTTTTAGTATAGTAGAGATTTCCCTTTCCTTTTTTTTTTGTTTTTCAATTCTATTTTTTAATTAATATACAGATTGTATCATATGTTGTTAGGTTAATTTCTCCATCAAAAACCAAATTGTGAAGATGAAGCTTCCAATTGAATTGGTGGAAGAGATACTCTACCGTGTTCCACCTCTATCTCTTCTCCGATGCAAAACCGTTTGCAAACAGTGGAACACACTTTTAAACCACTTGTCTCTCGGTCGTCCTCAACTCCTTATATGGACTGGTCCCAATATTTATTCTGTAGGCGTCAATCTCAAAGATGATCCAAAGATAGACATATGCGAGTTACCGGTAGATAATCCTTATTTAAAGAAGAATAACAAGCCTATACCTTACAACTTCCTTCCTTGCGATGGCTTATTGTTTTGTGTCCCTCGTTGGGGGATTATCAATAGAGTCCTTGTTTGGAACCCGTGGTTAAGACAGACTAGATTGATCGTGCCCCAAGAAAACTGTTTTACGTTTGGTGGTATAGGGTATGATAGTGGTAGACCCGAAAAGGGTTACAAGGTCTTTGGATATCGTTTTCTTGATCGAAAACTAAATAACGGTAAAGTTCAAGTATACCGAAGACTTGTCATCTACAAGCTCGAAACCAATGAGTGGAAGTATATTGATGCAATGAATGAAGATGAGACCTCCCAAAGTGGCATTGGCATCTCATTTGATAAGAATGTATCTTTGAATGGAAATTTGTATTGGATTGCTTATAATGTCAAGACTGGTGAGTATCTCATTCGATGTTTCGATTTTTCGAAGGAGGCGATTAAACTGTTTTGCATTCTACCGTGGAAGAGTGATTCTTCTGATATACCAATCCTCTCAGCTTATAGGAGAGATCGGTTTTCAGTGTTGAAACAATTTAATGAGAAAAACAAGATCGAGATATGGGTAACAGAAAACAAGATTAGCGCAGAAAATGGAGCCAATGTGGTGTGGATGAAGTTCATGACCGTTTCAGTACCTTTTGATAAGTATTTTTGTCCAAGTTACTTCGTTGATAATAATACATACGGAAAGAGCCTAGTTATGTGTTGTAAGGATGAAGATCGACATGATTGCATATATGTTGTGAAGGGCAATACGACCACGAAGATTCCAATAGGTTTTGAGGTCTATGAGGTTTGTAAATGTTTCTATGTTCCCAGTTTGATTCCAGTTCCTTGATACACTTCAGAAGAGGTGAACAAGAATTAAAACTTTAGTTTTTCTCTGTTATATATTGGTTTTCTTATACTTTGTTTTATCAGAAATGTGAAGTTATTTCACTTCAGTAACAATAATGGTTTGGTTGAAGTTAATATCTGTATATATGGCGTATGAGTTATGATCCAAATATGAATAAAACATATATATAGAGCCTATTTTTACTTATCCAGAGAGCATATATAATATTATACCATATAGTAAAAAGTATTTGCATTTCAACCCAAAACCCCATTTGCATTCGATGGCAAATTGTTGCATAACTAAAAAAATAGCAATGCAAACCAAAAGAATATGTTTTAAACAAGCTTTGGAAAATTATGTCCTTCAATCATATGTTATATGATAAATGATTTTCTTGTAGCATATTAGTTTTTGTGTGGAGCGGTCTAATTTTTATAGGGTTTGATTCGGCTTTATTGGGAGTCTGTTTGATAAATTAAACGTTCATGATCATGTTGTTGATTAAAAAAAAATTTAAGATTGTTAAGATATATATTGCATAACTTTGATAATATTATACATTCAATTTTACTATTCTACGTGGAGTAATATCTACTATCAACATGAAGAGAAGGTAGTCTGGTTTACATATAAAAAAAAAAAAAAATAATCAATTTTTGGCTCTTAAAAGTCAGAAGCAAAATAAAGAAGTAAAGGTCACCAAGACAGGCAGAGACGTGGGTGCAGACAGAAGAAAGAAAGGTGTCGTGCCAGTAACTAAGGTTCTAAATATAGACCGAAGAGACAAAAAGGATACCAACCAATCAAAAGTCCCCTAATTGTAGAGAAGAAGGGATTATATAAAGAAGAAGACGATACCAAAAACACCAACGAAGAGCACCAAGAAAGAGAAACTCATCATAATTAAGGTACATGTCTCCTCCATTCATTCTTCTATTAGATTAGATACAAAAGAAAGACTTGAATATGACGATCATATGAGGTTTATGGCCTTTGTTTAGTTTTTTTTTTTAATTGATTAAGAGACTTTTGTGCATGTGTAGAGAATGGTGAACATTAGGGGACAAAAGGGTCCAGAATCTCCGAGGACGCCGGAGGTCGGAGAGATAGACACAAGAGCCCCGTTTCAGTCGGTGAAAGCTGCGGTGAGCTTGTTTGGTGAAGTAGTCTCAAGGCAAAGAAGTACTCCAAGAAGGTCACGGCTCTCCTCCGAGGTAACTAATTTAAAAATCAAGAACGTGTCATATCATTGTTCTAGATGCCTTGAATATCAAGAAACCCATTTTTTAAAAAAATGTTTCAGAGCGTTTGCGACAAAGAAACACAGCTAATGCTAGCACACAAGCAATTCCTCAAGATCAAACAAAAGCTGGACAACGCTGAGATCACAAGATCTCGTGCTCTCTCCGATCTCTCAAACGCCAAGAAGACAATGGAAGAGCTTAAAAACAAGCTAGAGGCTGTAAACAAGTCTAAACAAACCGCTATTGAAACCAAAGAAACAGTCCAAAAGCGAGAAGAACAGCTTGAGCATGACAAGTCACATGGCTCTCCTCCTCACCACCACGAGCTTGACGTTGCAAGAGAACAGTATCTCTCCACCACCATTGAACTCGACGCTGCAAAGCAACAGCTAAACAAAATAAGACAGAGCTTTGACTCGGCCATGGACTTGAAAACCACGGCACTAAACCAAGCTGCCGAAGCGAAACGTGCGTTACAAGTAAACTCTGCTAAGGTCAACGAGCTTTCCAAAGAGATTGGTGATATGAAAGACGCGATTCATCAGCTCAAGCTAGCAGCCACTCAGAATCTTGAAGAGTATGCTAATATCGTTAAGGAGAAAGATGATTTAAGAGAATGTTACAAAACAGCTGTTGAGGAGGCAGAGAAGAAGCTACTAGTGTTGAGGAAAGAGTATCAGCCTGAGATGTCAAGGAATCTTGAAGCTAAACTAATAGAGACAACTTCAGAGATTGAGATTTTGAGAGAAGAGATGAAGAAAGCTCATGAGTCTGAGATGAACACTGTTAAGATCATTACCAATGAACTCAACGAAGCTACAATGAAGCTTCAAGAAGCTGCTGATGAGGAAGGCTCTTTAAGAAGCTTGGTGAATTCTCTAAGGATGGAGCTTGAAGAGATGAGAAGAGAGCGCGAGGATCTGCAGGAGAAGGAAGCAGAGAGGTTAGAGATTGAGGAAAGGAAGAAAGTGGAAGCTCTCAAGGAAGAGAGCTTGAAACTTGAGGAGATGAAGTCAGAAGCTTTGGGAGCAAGAAACGAAGCTGAAGAGATGAATAGAAAGATAGAGAGTTTAAAGAAAGAAACTGATTCTGCAATGATAGCTGCAGAGGAAGCTGAGAAGAGGTTAGAGATTGTGATAAAGGAAGTGGAAGAGGCTAAAGCAGCTGAAGAAAAGGTGAGAGAGGAGATGAAGATGATATCTCAGAAGCAAGAGAGCAAGAAACAAGACGAATCATCTAGTTCAAAGATTAAAATCACAGTGCAAGAGTTTGAGTCATTGAAACGAGGAGCAGGGGAGACAGAGAGTGGAATGGAGAAGAAGTTGGGAGATATAGCAGCTGAGCTTGAAGAGATCAATAAAAGAAAAGCAGAAGCAGATAATAAACTAGGAGCGAGTTTGAAGGCTATAGAGGAGATGAAGCATGCAACAGACTTGGCTCAGAAGGCAGCAGACTCAGCAGAAGCAGCAAAGAGTGTGGTGGAAAGTGAGTTGAAGAGATGGCGTGAAAAAGAAAATGTACAACAACATGCTTAGTTAGTGTCTTTGAATTCAATCTTGTATAAAAACATTTGTTTTATTCCAAATTTTTTTAAAAAAAATATAATGGTGAAGTTCAACAACACATAGAATAGATAGATGAATCACCCGAGGGAATATCAGCTTCTGTCTCAAGAAATCCTCATAAGCCTGAAAAATTAGATGATCATCATCATCATCATCCCACTTATCAAAAAAATTTACTTTGAGGTTGAATAATTTTCGTTGAGTTGCATTCTATAATCGGTAACAACCAAACAAAGGCTCGTTAACGCATTTAGTCGAACACGTTGCGGGCGAGAGTTTTCCGAAGCTCTCTCTATGTAAACATCTGTTGAAGCGACATCGTTTTACTTGGTCGACATTTACAAAAACAAAAGTAAAATCACGTAAACAGCGACACAAAATTTAAATGAACCGGGATTAATTACTTAACCGGTTTTCTTTGTTCTCGTCTCCAGAAAAAATCTCCAGATTGAGCTCACATCGCACAAATTTGATCTAAGAAGAGGGCGATTATATGAAGCCCTAAGACGATGATGAGGAAACAGAGCTGGAATCGTCTTACTACTACTTTGAGATTGGTTCGTTCCCATTCACTTCAGACAGGTACTCTGAGAAATGCGGCTCTCTTCCACAGCCCATACGAACGAGACTTTTCTGGTGGTGTCAGAAGCAGCAGCGATGGAAATCTCTCATCTTATAGAGAGAAATTGAGCAGTGGTCTCGTCAATATCAAGAAAGATGATGCTGTTACTCTCTTTCAATCTATGATTGAGTCTCGTCCTCGCCCTACCGTCGTAGATTTCAGTAAATTGTTTAGTGGTATTGCTAAAACGAAACGGTATGATCTCGTGTTGGATCTCTGTAAGCAGATGGAGTCGAATGGGATTGCATATAACATCTACACGCTGAGTATAGTCATCAACTGCTTCTGCCGGCTCCGGAAACTTGGTTTTGCTTTTTCTATGATGGGAAAGATTTTGAAACTTGGGTATGAGCCTGACAGAGTCACATTCTCTACTTTGATTAACGGTTTATGTCTCAAGGGTCTAGTTTCCCAAGCTGTGGAGTTGGTTGATCGTATGGTGGAAATGAAGGTTATACCAGATCTCATCATACTCAACACTATTGTTAATGGACTTTGTCTCCAAGATAGACTCTCTGAAGCAATGGCTTTGATTGATCGAATGATAGCTAATGGATGTCAACCTGATCATTTTACATATGGTCCCATTTTGAACAGAATGTGTAAGTCAGGTAACACTGCCTTGGCCTTGGATCTGCTCAAAAAGATGGAACAGAGAAAGGTCAAGCCTCAAGTAGCCACGTTCAACATCATCATTGACAGTCTTTGTAAAGATGGGAGCCTAGACGATGCACTCAGCCTTTTCAATGTAATGGAAATTAAAGGGATCAAAGCAGATGTCTTTACCTACACCTCTCTCATAGGAGGCTTCTGTGGTTTTGGTAGATGGAATGATGGGGCACAGTTGCTGAGAGATATGATTATAAGGGGAATCACACCGGACCTCATCACTTTCAATGCGTTGATTGATAGTTTTGTGAAAGAGGGAAAGCTTACTGAGGCTAAAGAATGGTTCGATGAGATGATCAAAAGAGGCATAGATCCTGATACCATTACATATAATACTTTAATATATGGGCTGTGCAACGGAAACCGCTTAGATGAGGCCAATCAGGTGCTGGATCTAATGGTTAGCAAGGGTTGTGATCCTTGTATTGTGACGTTTAATATCCTTATAAATGGATATTGTAAGGCTAAACTGGTTGATGATGGTATGAGAATTTTCCGCATAATGTGTTTGAGTGGAGTGGTTGCTGATACAGTCACTTATAACACTCTCATCCAAGGATATTGTCAGTCAGGAAACCTTACCGTCGCCAAGGAACTCTTCCAAGAGATGGTCTCTCAAGGTGCTCATCCTAATATTGTTACCTACAAAATTTTGTTGGATGGGTTGTGTGACAATGGAGAATTAGAAGAGGCGTTGGGAATACTTGATAAAATGCACCGTTGTAAGACGGAACTAGATATTGGTATATATAATATCATCATTCACGGGATGTGCAATGCAAATATGGTCGATGATGCTTGGAATCTATTCTGTAGCCTCCCTCTCAAAGGAGCGAAGCCCGATGTTAAAACATATAATATAATGATTGGAGGGTTATGTAAGAAAGGCTCATTGTCTGAAGCGGGCATGTTGTTTAGAAAGATGGGAGATGATGGGGTTGTGTCAAATAGTGGTTCATACAACACATTAATCCGAGCACATCTCCGAGATGGCGACTTAATCAAATCAGCTGAACTCATCGAAGAAATGAAAAGGTGTGGCTTCTCAGCAGATGCTTCCACTATAAAGATAGTTATGGATATGCTATCGGATGGTAGATTGCACAAAAGCTTTCTTGATATGCTTTCTTAAATGCCTCATCTAACCATGAGACATTGCCGGTTAGTGTTCACGAGTTAGTTGGTTTTATTAGTTGAAACAAGTTCTTTTATGTATAAGGGGAATGCGGGTTTTCTGGTCTGTCCTTAAAGTACAACATAGGCATTGCTTTGCGAAAGGTTTGTTGGCTTAGGAAATGTTTGGGAAATTTTCAAGATATTGAACATGACTGAGCAAGCTCTTCTTTAAGCTGTGTCTTTTCTCACAATGTTCATCTGTGTACTTTGCTTTTTAGGTTTTACTTGTAACGTTATGAACAAATATGTTAGCTCTCTAGTTTGTTTTGTAAATTGGCTCTCCTGAACATGTCTCTGCACTGAAACGAACCTTACATGATCTGCTCTAAATGTCCTTCCCTTGGGTTGACTTGAAACATAGCAATAGGATGATGATATATATACGGTACTTTGTTGTTTTTCTCACTTTCTCTGAATCTGAACCTGTACAGAGACTGCTCCAGGAACTTCAGCAACACGAGGCTCTATACAGTGTCCATTACACACAACAACAGAGTTAAAGATCTCATCTCTCGACACCCCATCAGAGTTTCTTGATCGGATCTTCCATTTCCGACCATCCTGCTCGATAAGAACCACTTCTGTCTCAAACCGAACCATCTCCTCGAGTTTGAACTCTCTTGCAAAGTCTTGAAGATACGCCAAGACTTCCCTGTGATTAGGATACCTTCTCGGGTCTCTAGACTCATCATGTTCAGGTCGGGACACGAAAGGGAAGTCGCTGTAACCCATACACTCTTTAAGAAGCTTGGTGAATTCTCTAAGGATGGAGCTTGAAGAGATGAGAAGAGAACGCGAAGAGCTGCAGGAGAGAGAAGCAGAAAGGTTAGAAGTTAAGGAAAGGAAGAAGGTGGAAGCTGTCAAGGAAGAGAGCTTGAAACTTGAGGAGATGAAACAAGAAGCTTTGGGAGCAAGAAACGAAACTGAAGAGATGAATAGAAAGATAGAGAGATTGAAGAAAGAAACTAATGATGCAATGATAGCTGAAGAGGAAGCTGAGAAGAGGTTAGAGCTTGTTATAAGAGAAGTGGAAGAGGCTAAAGCAGCTGAAGAGAAGGTGAAGGAGGAGATGAAGATGATATCTCAGAAGCAAGAGAGCAAGAAACAAGATGAATCCTCTGGTTCAAAGATTAAAATCACAGTGGAGCAGGGGAGACAGAGAGTGCAATGGAGAAGCAGTTGGGAGATATAGCAGCTGAGCTTAAAGAGATCAATGAAAGAAAAGGAGAAGCAGATAATAAACTCGGAGGAGATGAAGCACGCAACGGACTTGGCTCAGAAGGCAGCAGACTCAGCAGAAGCAGCAAAGAGTGTGGTGGAAAGTGAGTTGAAGAGATGGCGTGAAAAAGAAAATGTACAACAACATGCTTAGTGTCTTTGAATTCAATCTTGTATAAAAACCATTTGTTTTATTCCAAAAAAAAAGAAAAAAAATTATAAAGATGGAAGTTCAACATCACATGAACAAACAACAGAGAGAGATCAATTATTTAGTAAAGGCATCAATCACCCAAATATCTGAGTGGGAATAACACTAATCAGCTTCTGTCTCAAGAAAAATCCTCATAAGTAAACAAATATCAATTATAAATCCCATTTTTTAATTTTTTTTTGGATCAAAAAAAAAAAGCTGTGAATCATCTATTGAAACGACACCGTTTACTTAGTCGGCATTATAAAAACAAATTAAAATTTCGTAAGCAACGACAATTTAAATGAACCGGAATTAATTACTTAACCGGTCTTCTTTGTTCTCGTCTCCAGAAAAATCTCCAGAGCTCACTCACTCGCACAAAATTGATCTTGGTGTGTGCCCTAAGAAAAGGACAATTCATTTGAAGCATGTTGAGGAATCAGAGATGGAATTTTCTTACTACTTTGAGATTGGCTCGTTCCCATTCAGTTCAGACAGGTACTTTTGCGGCTCTCTACTTTTCTGGTGGTGTCAGCAGCAGCATAGATAGAAATCTCTCTTTTTACAAAGAGAAATTGAGATGTGGTCTCGTCAATATCAAGAAAGATGAAGCTGTTGCTTTGTTTCAAACGATGATTGAGTCTCGTCCTCTTCCTACGGTTATAGATTTCAACAGATTGTTTAGTGGTATTGCTAAAACAAAACAGTATGATCTCGTTTTAAGTCTGTGCAAGCAAATGGAACTGAAAGGGATTGCGTATGATCTCTACACGCTGAGCATTGTCATTAATTGCTTCTGCAGGCGACAGAAACTTGGTTTTGCTTTTTCTGTTATGGGGAAGATTTTGAAACTTGGGTATGAGCCTAACACAATCACATTCTCTACTTTGATTAACGGTTTATGTCTCAAGGGTAAAGTTTATGAAGCTGTGGAGTTAGTTGATCGTATGGTGGAAATGAAGGTTATACCAAATCTCATCATACTCAACACTATTGTCAACGGGCTTTCTCTCCAAGATAGACTGTCCGAAGCAATGGCTTTGATTGATCGAATGATGGTCAATGGATGTCAACCCGACGCATTTACCTACGGTCCGATTTTGAACAGAATGTGCAAGTCAGGGAACACTGCCTTGGCCTTGGATCTTCTCAGAAAGATGGAACATAGAAAGGTCAAGCCTCACGTAGCCACGTTCAACATCATCATTGACAGTCTTTGCAAAGATGGGAGGCTCGAAGATGCACTCAGCCTTTTCAATGAAATCGAAACCAAAGGGATCAAAGCAGATGTCTTTACCTACAACTCTCTCATTGCAAGTTTCTGTAATGTTGGTAGATGGGATGATGGTGCACAATTTCTGAGAGATATGATTACAAGAGAAATCACCCCCAACATTGTCACCTTCAATGCGTTGATTGATAGTTTTGTGAAAGAGGGAAAGCTTACTGAGGCTAAAGACTTGTACAATGAGATGATCACAAGGGGGATAGATCCTAATACCATTACATATAATTCTTTGATATATGGGCTGTGCATGGGGAACCGCTTAGATGAGGCCAACCAGATGCTGGATCAGATGGTTAACAAGGGATGCGATCCTGATATCGTAACGTTTAATACTCTTATAAACGGATACTGTAAGGCTAAAATGGTTGATGAAGGTATGAGACTTTTCCGCAAAATGTCTACGAGAGGAGTGGTTGCCGATACAGTCACTTATAGCACTCTCATCCAAGGCTTTTGTCAATCAGGAAAACTTAATGTTGCAAAAGAACTCTTCCAAGAGATGGTTTCTCAAGGTGCTCATCCTGATATTATGACTTATGGTATTTTGCTGGATGGTTTGTGTGACAATGGAGAACTAGAAGAGGCTTTGGGAATACTTGAAAAAATGCACAAGAGTAAGATGGAACTTGATATTGGTATCTATAATATCATCATTCACGGGATGTGCAACGCAAATATGGTCGATGATGCTTGGAATCTATTCTGTAGCCTCCCTCTCAAAGGAGCCAAGACTGATGTTAAAACATATAATATAATGATTGGAGGGTTATGTAAGAAAGGCTCATTGTCTGAAGCGGGCATGTTGTTTAGAAAGATGGGAGAGGATGGGATTGTGTCAAATAGTGGTTCATACAACACATTAATCCGAGCACATCTCCGAGATGGCGACTTAATCAAATCAGCTGAACTTATCGAAGAAATGAAGAGGTGTGGCTTCTCAGCAGATGCTTCCACTATAAAGATAGTTATGGATATGTTATCGGATGGTAGATTGGACAAAAGCTTTCTGGATATGCTTTCTTAAATGCCTCATCTAACCATGAGACAGTGCCGGTTAGTGTTCACGAGTTAGTTGGTTTTATTAGTTGAAACAAGTTTTTTTTATGTATAAGGGCAATGTGGGTTTTCTGGTCTGTCCTTAAAGTACAACATAGGCATTGCTTTGCGAAAGGTTTCTTGGCTTAGGAAAGGTTTGGGAAATTTTCAAGATATTAAACACGACTGAGCAAGCTCTCCTTTAAGCTGTGTCTTTTCTCACAATGTTCATCTGTGTACTTTGCTTTTTAGGTTTTAGGTGTAACGTTACGAACAAATATGTTAGCTCTCTAGTTTGTTTTGTAAATTGACTCTCCTGTAAATGTCTCTGCACTGAAACGAACCTTACATGATCTGTTCTAAATGTCCTTTCCTTGGGTTGACTTGAAACATAGCAATAGGATGATGATATATACGGCACTTTGTTGTCTTGCTCTCTTTCTCAGAATCTGAACCTGTAGAGAGACTGCTCCATGAACTCCAATTCTCTCCATGAACTAAAACCAGCTTAATTCCATTACTGTCTAAATGTCCTTCTCTTAGGTCAGACTTGAAACACAACAATAGGATTGATGTGGTGAGTTAAAGAGATGGCCTCAAAAAGAAAAATGTACAATGCTTAGTGCTTTTATTCAATCTGTATACAAACATTTGTTTTACTCCAAAATAGTAAGTATAAAGACGGTGAAAATGGTGAAGTTCAACATCACATGAACAACACATAGATAGATCAATCATTTTGGCAAAGGGGTCACCCCAATATCTGAGAGGGAATAACACTGATCAACTTCTGTCTCAAGAAATCCTCATAAGCCTCAACGATGAGATGATCATCATCCCACTTATCACGGAACGTGTCTGGTTGTGTGGCAAGTCTTACATAGCCACCTTCTAGTTCCTGGTTTCTCCATTGTTCAACAGGTGGTTCACCAATCTGATCAGCTATCCAGTTGAGGTACTCAGCCTGAGAGGCACCAAGCCTATGCGTGTATCTCTTGGGAAACCCGTTAGCGTCACGCTTTGCATAGAGAGCGTTAGTGTCCTCCATCATTTTTTCTTCTGAAGGAAGTGTGACACGACCGGATAAAACTGCAGCCACCCACTTGCTTTGAAGCTCAAACATAGTGAATAACAATGTCTGATTCAAGGAAAAGAATAAAGTCTGATTAGGTTATGGATGATTAATCCCACAAAGGTAGAATGAATGAATAGAGAGGCTTAACCATCCATGGTAAACCGACGAAGGAAAGCCCTGGAGCAAGAGCAGGAGGAAACACATGTTTGTAAAGAGGTCCAACACAGTTATCCTCCACGGTGATATATCCATTGGTATTAAGGAATGGGAAGTGATATATGTAACCGGTGCAATGCACAATAGTATCAGCTTGTATAACTTTACCATTCTTGAAAACAATCGAACCATCTTTGTGTGCCCTTTCTATCTGCACAAACATATAAACACTTCTGATATTATCAGTGTTCTGAAAATTGGTTTAGGCAGCGCCAAGTCGGCAAATCAGAACTAAACGAAACGATTTTTCCAGTTGTTTTAAGCGTCCGCCTAGTCAATAATTTCATATAAAGCTCTTAACTAAATGCCTAACGATTTCTTGAACATTGGATACGACAATGTTTTTATTTCATTTTGTTTACCATAGGGTGAAGCCATAGATTATCGGCCCCGGGAAGCTTCTCATAAGTCTCAGACGGTTGCGACCTAGCCGCGATATGGACTTCTTTCGCCACTCCTGTTATGTCCCTGCTTATATCTGATCCACTCGCAAAGTTACCTATCACTACCACCACCTTTCAAAGATGTCAGGCTAATAAAGCAAACCAGTAAAGGGTTTATAAGTTCTGTAAAAACCTACCTGGTCTTTAAATGGATCAGGAACTCTGTAGTTGTGACTATGAAGTTGCTTCCCTGGCCATAGATCTATACCTAAAAAAAACACACAAAATCATTTCACATAAGTCAAAACATGTATTACCTCAAAACTCAACTAAAGATAAAAAAAAACTTTTAATCCTTTACCAGGAACTTCAGCAACACGAGGCTCTGTATAGTGTCCATTACACACAACAACAGAGTCAAAGATCTCATCTCTGGTCACCCCATCAGAGCTTTTTGATCGGATCTTCCATTTCCGACCATCCTGCTCGACAAGAACCACTTCTGTCTCGAACCTTACCATCTCCACGAGTTTAAACTCTCTCGCAAAGTCTTGAAGATACGCCAAGACTTCCCTGTGATTAGGATACCTTCTCGGGTCTCTAGACTCATCATGTTCTGGTCGGGACACGAAAGGGAAGTCGCTGTAACCCATACACTCTCTCGGGAGATTGGTCCGAAGCGAGTCGTAGACGCTAGAGTGAACTACGGTTCGGTTGGGATCGAGACTAAGAGGGTCCGGTTCGCTTTGAGGTGTGTACACCCAGAGACCTCCGACTTCTGTGCCGCGATCGAAAACGACGACGGAGTGGGATTCGCGGCGTAGCTCACGTGCAGCTACGAGTCCGGCGGCTCCTGCTCCGATCACTGCCACGTGGAGTGAGTTGACTGGGCTGCAAGAAGGTGCCATTCTTTTGGGTGTTTTAAGAAAGAGATTGTTTGGCTCCTCCAATCGTGTAAGGGGAGTAATCATTTTATCATGAATGATATTGTTATTTTATCATGTTGATGGATGATGACAAAAAAAAAAAGAAGAACATTATGTTATGTACGTTTTTTCAACTGTGCTATAAACGGGTTGAGAGAATAAAACTATACTTCATTAACTCAAGATCTTATTCAAATAAGTAGTACTTCCGTGTCAAATTAGATGTGAGAGTTTTTTAAAGAATTAAGAAAATTATTAAATTTTCAGTTTTGATCATTATTTAACTGTTAACTTTTATAATATTAGTTTAAAATTTTATTTAGAGACAAATATATAGATTAATGTAAATATCGCATTTAAATTTGTAAAATGTCATTTTTACGGAAGTTTTTATTCTAAAATAATACTGGAGAAGTAGAATAACATTGTAAAATATAGTTTTTTTATGGAAGTTTGTATTTAGACCAATGGAGGAAGTAGTAAATTAGTCTAGGAGAAAAGAATTTCTTAAATCAGATTGATATTTATCTTGATATCATCTAAAATCAAACATATCAATGAAAATGCAAAAAGCCAAGATAAGTACACATCTGTAATAGTTACAAAAAGCCCGCAAACCAAGATTGTGAAAATATTTCCGAATTATACGTACTCTGAACGCAACAAGGTAGAATCGAGCAAAAGGATCCCATCAAAATTCTATAAATTAATTAATTATACAAAAATAAGATAGTATAATACTAATTTATAATGATGATATTAGTAATAAATGGTGGGCCATTGACAATAACGAATTATTAGATGGTAAAAGCAAGAAACTAGGCTACGAAGCCTCCTTTACTGTCTCGAAACTATGCATGGTCTACTGTCACAGAACCATGTTGGGTCATCCTTACCTCAACTCGGTCAGATCTGAACCAAATCTCCACTTCACGACAGCTGCAACAAAAACTATTTTTAATTCTTTTTCTCAATTCAATTTTATTAATTAATATGCTAGAATAATTCTAGTTCTCTCTCTATACATATATATTTTTAAATACTGCTATTATCGTCACTTGTCCACTAAATGACTAAGACAAACCCCATCGGGTCATAATCAGAAAACAAAGGAAAAAGGTGAGGAATCCTAAAAGCTTTTGTCAAAGATAACCAAATTAAAAAGTTAAATATATATCTAAGGAAAAGATACCTCATCTGATGTTGCACACTAACCACTAAAGACCCATCTCTCTATCTCTCTGAGATTTTTGAGTCTCCTCTGTATCTCTCTCTATCTCTCTTCATGATCTAATTGTTTTTTAATTTTTATAAATATTATGTGATAGTTACATATACACGTTATATGTGTGTATCTATCTTTTTCTATATTGATGGAGACAATAACCATTTCAATCTGATCATTTCTTCTTGTGATATTTTTTAGTTCTTTTTTTCTTCTCTCTTTTTTTCCCCGTCTCCCAGATCTGCTTCGTCAATCTTACCATTGGTAAGCTTCAAGCTCTTTCTTTAGGGGTAATTTTTTATTTTGATGAAAAAATAATTCATTGAATTATTAGATTCTTATTTTTATAATATAAAGTCGAAGTTGTACTTTCCTGTTCGTCATGGAGTTTTTAATGCTTTTTTCTTTTCCCCTTATAGCTCTTTCTAACTGTTGAGTATCGATTTAGGAAAATACATGTTCTTACTTTGTATATCTATGTTCTTGTGAATAACGAACCTGCTCTGCTATATATGGTTGTTTTTCATTAAATCTTCAAATCCAGTAAAGCTATTATGGAATAATCTTCTATTATAGCATTACTACTTATTTTGCATGTTTTAAATAAACTGTATACCCGTTTATGGAAGCTTTGTTTGTGTCAATGATCAAAGGAAGGTTTATTAGAGGCTTTTAATTAATTTTGATGAACATTGCTCTTGTTTTTCTACTTCATGGACTTTTGATCTTATTATTGATTCAAAAATGTTTAAAAAGTTATAGAATAAAGCTTCCATGTGTATGCTCTAGTAGCTCACTTCCTTGCTGATTTCTAAACGTGTTAGATGGTCAATGTTGATTCTATGACTCATTTTTTGCCGTCTCTGTCTGCGTTGTTCGCGTTTGATAGGGGCAGGCCACAAATTTATAAGAGTTAGATCTTTGAGGAAAGACAGCCATGTACTTCTTCGGTCTGTCCAAAGAAGAAGTGTTGTCACAAAAACATGTTGTATCATATAAAGAGACTTTAAAGCAGAATCCAGTCACTCTGTTTGGGAGACAGGTTAGCTTATTCAGATTCTAGTTTAGTCAATGTTTTGACTTTTCATTGTTTCTTGTTAAGAAAACAGTATAATATATGATCTTGATAAAATTTTGTTGCAGGTGTATCCGGTGAATAGCAAGAGCTCCAAGTCTGTTGATGGATATAAGAAGATGAAAGATATCGATCTTCGGCTTCCTGCAGATCACTATGCTTATTTAGAGACTAGATTTCATCCAGCGTTTGAAGCTAAAGAAGCATTGACCACACATTGGAGTGGCAAGAGAGATCCTAAAATTATTATTGATCTTGAAGAGCTTCCCACAACAGAGGATGCAGATTCTGTTAGTTATGTTACTGTGAGAAGTCCTGAAACAAAACCATTATGCTTAGCTGATCAGAACAGCTCAAACATTCTGAAGGTGGTGGATCAATCTCTTGTAGAGGATGGTAGTGCATGTTTACTAGATCTTAATACAACCCCGGATGATGAGTTAGTGTCCGAGCCTCATTTCTGTTTCTTACAAGATCTAAACTGTCCTTACATTGAAGATACTGAAACTAGCTGCGAGAAGAGTGGAGTAGATGATGCTCCTACGCCTCTTTGCTCTCCTGGTACAGAGTCTCCAGCTTCATATACTTCTTGCTGCACCACTGAAAACAACGTGTCAAGAAGAGGTTCATTGGATCCTTCTTGCCGTACCAGGCTTGAGTTTCCTGTCTTGCCAGATCACGAACGTTGTAATGAGGAGGAGGAGGAAGAGTTCTCTGAAGTCATGCAAATGGCTGCTGAATCATTAGTCCACATCTCAGCAGTTTCATATCAAAATCAAGATAAGCCCGAGAAGGGTGACGTGGAACGGAGATGTTGGTCATGTGATTCATATGAGCTACACACATTAGGAATAAGAGAAACCAACACGGAAGAAGAGTTCTGTGTGTCATCAATGGCTTTGGATAAGCTTAATAATATCACAAGAGATAACAACAACAAAGAGTTTGGGCTCAAGCTGAGAAGAGGGAGGAGAATGAAGAACTTTCAGAAGGAGATAATCCCGAGCTTAACGTCCCTCTCGAGGCACGAGATACGTGACGACATGAACATCTTGGAAGCGGTTTTGAGATCAAAAGAGTACAAGAAGATGCAGGGGAAAACGAGGGATGTACAATATGGAGCAAACACAAGAAACAAACGTTCAATGTCGCAGAGGTATGTTGGTAAAAAGAAGGCGAAAACATGAATGAGTTTTATCTATCTTCATGGGTTTCAGATTCTTGCTTCATTGTGTAATCTTTTAACAGTCTTTTTTTTTTTTTTAACTTATGGCATTGATTATTATATGAGGAAAAGGCTAGTGAGCCGATGACATTATGTTTCTCATTCTTGCTCAAAATGTTATTTAAGTTTGTAAACTAACGTTGTGATAGGAATAAATTTGAATGTGTTCTTGGAAGTTTGGAACAGTCTGTTGTTGGAATCTTGAAACGTACAATAGTTCGTAATCCAACATTAAACTATAGTTTATGGGCCATAGTCCATTGATATTAGAGGCCTTTAATTTCTTATATTTACATTTTTAAATTTTTGGGTTTAAACTTGTTGCCAACTTTCCCTCAGTGTGGTTGAATTTTCAAGTTGGTGTGCTCTAACCTGCCATGCTGATTCTGCCACTTTGGGTTGAGAGTTTTCTTTATGTTGTATGTTTTTTTTTTTTGAGAAATCCTTATGTTGTATGTTTTAATAATGATTCTTTTGTTTTCTATGTGTACCTACTTGATTTCCTTTTTTTTGTATATTCTGACCAAAATTTAAAATAATAATTATGTTAATTATATTGTGTTTCCAAAAAGAATGTTAATTATATAGGGAGCTTTCATCATTTTAATGGACTAAGTACTAATTAATAAGAGACTGAATCTGATATTTTGTTTCATTTTATTAAAAGTGTTGAGCAAAATAATATTTAACTCAATGAACCAATTTGACATTGTTTTATTGATTCCTTTGAATATCAAAAAAAATTATATTTCTCATTCACAAATCCATATTTTTATGATTATATAGGGAACTTTCATCATTTCAATGGATTAGCTACTAATTAATAAGAGACTGAATCTGATATTTTGTTTCATTTTATTACAAGTGTTGAGCAAAATAATATTTAACTCAATAATGAACCAATTTGACATTGTTTCATTAATTCCTATGAATATGAAAAAAAAAAAAATTCTTATCCACAAATCCATATCTCTTTATGTTGCTAATGATTTTCCTATTTCTTTATATAAAAGGGAATTATACTAAAAAGATTATAAAACTATGTGACTGGGTTGGGGATATTTGAGAAATTATTTAATAATCTAACACTAGATTCGAGTTGGGAGACAAACAAACGTGCACAGAGCATTCCTTAATATATTATATCGTAAGCACATAGAGAAATTGCAAAACAAGGTTCCAGATATTTAGCTCTTCTGTGATTATGGGACAAATGCATGATGAGTCTATCTTTTTAGGGACAGCAAGCCAGTTCGCAAACAATTCCACACAATGATTGGTCGGGAAGAAGATAATAATACGGAGTTATTTGCTTAATTTCTCACAACATAAAACTGTAGATTAAACAAATTAAAATATTATTCATGTTGATCTTTTTAAGGGGGGGAAGAATACCTAGCTGATACTGAATGTCATTTTTTCTGCTAATTGAATGTGATTTTTTGTGCTAATTGAATGTGATTTCCCTCTTAAGATATTATATAGTTTGCAGAAATTATCAAAATCTTAAGTTTTTTCTCCGTTTATATAAACAAACTTTTAAAAATTTAATTGCTAATATAAATATTCATAATGCTTTCATTATAGGATCATTAAAACAAAAATATCGCCACTAATTAGGCGTTCTAATCCAAAATTATAACCAGCTAGCTCACTCGTGGCCCTATGTGACCCCAATAATTCTACTCCCATCGTCAGCTTAAAATATCATATAAAATTAGCTAGTGTCTGTAAGGAACCATAATATATGATATTTGATCATTGTCATAGAGTTTTAATGATATTTTTGGACTATCTCCCTAATAATTCATGTCACTCGACCAGTAATCACGAAGTTACCAAAAAGGACTAGTTGAAAGAATCAGACAACTTGAAATTCAAACAAAAAGACGTTAACTGCGTTAAAATCTTAGAAATTTTACAATTTCTGCTTTTTATACATAACCAAATGGGAAAATTTCTGCTTTTATACATAACCAAATGGGAAAACTTTGACTTTTATCCCATATAGGTCGATCCATTATTGTGGAATCAGAAACAAGAGGTAACTGAGAAAAACATCATAAAATATACCACAAAATTCAAAATCAAATTCATGCATATCAACATAGACACAATATCCATCATCATCTGATCAGTGGCCCATGGGAATGTCTGACTCCTCTTCCAACTCAATCCCAAGGTCAGCTAGTCTCTTCTCCTTGTAGACGTACCACTTGGAGAAAACGAGGAAAACAAGGAAGTTCAAGGCAACAATTACGGCCACAAGCCAATAGAAATTGTATAGACGGCCCTTGTTGAGATCATCAGCAATCCATGGATGAGCTTTATCGGTAACTTTCTCAACGATAGTTACGAGAACCGAGCTGAAGAAAAACCCTAAAGCCAATGTGCTCAACAATAAACCCGTGCTCATTGTTTTCATACCTTTAGGACACTCTCTCAAGAAAAAATCTAACTGTCCTGTGTAGATCAACGCCTCGCCGATACCGACAATAAGGTATTGTGGGATGAGTAGAGTAAACCCTAGAGGAAGAGTTTTGACTGTTGGACCGTGGGCATGTGCGGTTCTAAGACGTTTGATCTCTACCAAAGCAGCTACGGCCATACCCATGGCTGCGAGTAAGAGACCCAAACCAATGCGTTGAAGTGGTCTCAAACCGTGTGGGTAGTTGAATAGCTTTTTGCATAGGGGAATCGCGAGACGGTCGTAGAGGGCGGTGGTTAGGAGAAGGCCACCAATATAGAATACGGCCATTGCGGCTGGAGGGATCTCAAAGCTCCCAATGTGACGGTCCATCGTCTCGGATTGTGCAACCGATAGTGTCGTTAACTGAGCATGGACGGTCCAAAAGAGGATGCATGTTGCCCAAATTGGTAACATCCGTACAATTTGTTTCACTTCCTCGACATCGGTTAGTGTTGAAAGAGTCCATTTGTTGTATATGTTTTGGGTCATTGCCATTTCTTGGTCCTTTATCGCTGCCTTGTCTAAGGAACTGTGGCATCAAAAGTGATATAAGAGATGGTTAGAGCATAACAGGAAATGTGATTAAAGATAGGTCTAAGCAAAACGATTTACTAGATAGCATTAAAACGATTTATGTATTTTGTGTGTTTTTGTTAACATATTCTCTTTTTGAAATGTCGCCTAAGCGTAGTATCAATATGATGCGAAGAAACTGGACATGTAGAGATACCTAGTTACGTGGAATCTTTTCAAGACAATCTACCCTTCACAAGTGCCAAGAAACAATATGTATATATACAATTTTGAAAAAAATAAAGGGTGAATCAATTTCCTTTAAAATAGGGAAAATGTATAAATGTTAAAAGATTTTTCTAAAAGTTTCGGTAAACTTAGAAATACCCAAAATAGACAGAGTGAATGAACCAAAGAGCACGCAAAGCACGTGACCATAGGATTCTGAACGCTAACATGGGGTCTGGCCCCGTCGAGGTGTGTAAAGAGTAGTGGAGGTTTTACTACACGAGACGTGATCGTTCTTGCTACAAAGACAAAACAATGTCTCCTTAACTTGTCGTTTCTTTCTTTCTTTTTCTTTTATTTGTTTTTAATATTCCAAAACTAGGAGAAATACAAATATCTAGAGATGGTAAAATGATTCTTCAAAAATTGTCTAGAATTAAAGTAATTTGATTCCTTTGATTCTTGTGTGTTTACGTAAGCATGCATAGGGATTGATGAATAAAAGATACTGTACTTGGATGGCAGAAAAGAAAAGAAAAGAAAAAGATACTGTACTTAGGGGGAAGAATCACGAGTCAGGTATATATGTATATATGTGCCTGTATTTAAGCTTTTCAAAGAAACAGAATCTATTGAAAACAATAACAATATGATGATAAAAAAATAAAATAAAACAAATTAGATATGATATTACCGCAACTTGTTGCTAAAGCTACTCTCTTTTTGTAATGGCCAAATAATTCAATAGAGGGTGTGAAATTTTCTAAGATTTTTCATTTGTATGTAAACAGTAAAGATGGAAATACTACCCCACTTGCATAGTTGCATATCTTTAATAACTTATCTTCTTTTCTTAACTATCTGTATTGAACTTAATCCCAGAAAACTATATGTATTGCTTGACGTGCTATCTAACGCTGGTACATAGTAACATATACAACTATAAGAAAAAAATCCAAAATATTGTGATTAGCTGTAAAATTCATGTCATGGACCAGTTTCGTTGTATGGTCGAGTGATAATATTGTTATGATAATATTTATTTTCCCATAATAAAAAAAAGAAAAGAAAATATTCAAATCTTTTTAACTGGATTCTAATGCCAAGTAGGCATATACTGAAAATATATGTGGTCCCTATTGAATTAAGGGATACGAGATTTTCGAGTTATTTCATACCCACACATCCCCCAGTTTTAATTTCACATTTCTCAAGTCTATATTGTCACGTTCACTTAACCCAACATCTCAATTATTTTGACACTAACCTTTTTAACAAATATAGAAATTGTCAAGTTTGAATCTTAACTTTTTAATATTTAGGTATCCTAGGTGGGATTTGCTTTCTTTTAGTATTATGTTTAAAATTTAATTAAAAAGAAAAGATAATCAGATAATGAAAATCGTACCGGAATTGATTGCTATGCGGCAACTTTTGTTTACTCTTCATCGAACCTTCAGCCGCAATAACATCGTCCAAGTCGTATAGAAACGATGGGTCCGATGGCAACTCAAGCCGCCTATTCCTCCACGCCGCCACAAGAACCGTTGCAACTTGCGTCATCGGGCTACCGATCAACTTCTTGAAACGGTAGCGATTGGTGCCGGCCAAGAAAATGCTTAGTGCAAGCACGATTGCCAACGCGCAAATGCCATAGCCCCATTTACGTCCAACATCGTCTTGTATGTAGACAAGGACCGTTACAGCCAAAAGAGAACCAACGTTGATACAAAAGAAGAAGCGGTTGAAGA